TTCTGGAGTTGCCGGCAACCTCGAATTGCCGTAGGAATTCATTAATATACAGATATTTTCTCCTTGATTGTGGTTGAGTGTATCAATTTGGTGCTTTCATTGAGAGGCAACTTCTGACTTTTACCATGGCAGAAGGAACTCGAAGTGCAGTAAAACAAAATGTGATGGATGAATGCTTGAACCGATTGGCAAGGCATGAAGAGCAGTTCTCTTCATTCGGTCACCTGTTACAAGAAATGAACATGAAGTTAACATTGCTGGAGGCGAAATTAGATCAAGGACAGAAACAAAAGACGAAGGTGGAAGGAACGACGAACGAAGGGTTAGGAAGTTTTTTTGGAAATAATGCATTAAAGTCAGTTAAGCTTACCATTCCTCGGTTTGCTGGTGGGAACCCCGAACCTTGGATCCATAAAATCCAACAGTTCTATGGGTTTCATAATCTCACAGATCCCGAGAAATTCACTCTGACCTCCTTTCACATGGATGGCAGTGCTGAAGAGTGGTACCACTGGATAGATCGTAATGGAAGATTGAGAACATGGGATCAATTTGTAGGCGCCTTACGCGCCCGATTTGGACCTTCCAGGTATAGGGATTTACGGGGAGAACTTGGCAGATTGACACAAGTAACTACTGTAGCAGATTACCAATCTCAGTTTGAGAAGCTCGCAAATCAGGTGATGGGAATTGACGATGTGAGCCTCCAAAGTTATTTTGAATCTGGTCTGAAATCTGAGATCCGCAAGGAGGTACGCATGCACTTACCTGCCAGTTTGGAGCAAGCCATTGATTTAGCTAAAATTGTTGAAGACAAACTCAATGATAAAAGTACAGGGAGGACTTACTACAACCGTGCTTATACTGGTCCAAGTAATCCTTCCCAACCAGGGTTATTGCCCACACCTCTAGCTCCACCCAAGCTTGCCATTACAGGCTCAGGAAACAATAAAACCAATATTCCAATCAAACGGTTGACTGCAGCAGAGATGATGGAGAGAAGAGAGAAGGGCTTGTGCTACTATTGCGATGAGAAATTCAACCGAACTCACGTATGCGAGTCCAAAATGTTCATAATGCTGGTACAAGATGAGGACAATGAGGCACCTGACAAGAATGGAGGAGATGAATTAATTATGGATATGAGTACTGAGAAGATGGAAGGGGAAATTCAAACCATGCCTTACCAACTCGCCTACGTGTTGAGATTTTCTTGATAGATTTAAAATTTTATTATTATTTGTACAAACTTACTTCTATACAATATAAGGAATATTAGTCGGCTTTTTGACCCTTTTGCCCTCATTAATTAATTAATAACCAATTTGCCCCTGATCAAGAACTATCCACCAACCTGCCCCCTTTTAGTCGACTACCTTGCTGTTTTAGTCGAGCAAATGGTCAATCTTCAGAAAGTGGACTACTGCAAATTTAGTCGACTAAAAAATCATCTTAATCGACTACATTTTTGGGATATTTAGTCGACTAAGTAACGATATTTAGTCGACTAAATGTCGACTGAAACCCTATATTTTCCATGTTTTCGGTCTCATTTCGATTGTTGTTGTTGTGTAAACCTAAATAGCTCCCTTTGTTCATGTGTAATCCTCTCAATCCGATTGTATTTCATCCCACCATCTCTACAGACCTAATATTGTGAAATCATTGTCATTGCCTAATTCCAAACCCCAAAATCCGAACCCAAACCCCCAATTTCAGAACCCAAGTCCCAATTTCGTGAGGAAGATGAGCACAAGTCCAAACATGTATGTGACAATGATCTACTATGATGGAAAGCATTATGAAGGCCCCAATGGTGTTCAATTTGAAGGAAAAACGAAAATGTTGAAAATCAAACGGGGCACTACATACAATGAGTTAAAGGAGAGAATTCAGCAAAAATTGGGTCTGCAAGGCAGCCAATGCGTTCAACGGATGATTGCCAGGGTAGAGACAACAGTTGGTAAGGATGCTATTTACTACATTGGTAACGATATATGTGATGATGAAGATGTCGAATGTGTCATAGATGCAATTGTTGACCGAAAATTTCAAAATTTTATTGAGATATATGTTGAATTAGATTGTGGTCAATCTTCATCTGCACCCATGCAGGTGCCGTCATGATGATCTCTATTCCACAGACCCTCGACCTCAGCTCGCCCTGTACGTAGCTGAGGTTATGGTAGAAGGCCCGCACCATAAGCTCTGAATACGGACATAGGGTCTCGGCCAACACCCTCAGATGTGCCGCCTCCAACACCCCCACAATTTCAAATCCCTCCTTATCAAAAAAGGCTGTATCCAAAGATTTTGGAGCACATAACAGCCGGTTCAAATGGTCACGTACGAATGAAGCGTGGACGGCAGGGTCGTCCTCAAACAGATACCCATACGGGAGGTCAACAGTATCAGGCTCTTCGTCTTGTCGCCTTGACGAAGAAGGCCGCTCTTGCCTATGCTTGGTGCGTCTCTCAAGTGACTCATTGCCCTCATCGCTTGGTCTTCTGCGGCTCGTCATTTGTTTAGGGTACCTACAATGAAACATGTCAGCATTTAACTATATGAAACATGTCATGATGGTAATGAAAACTTGCAACATAAGCGCTGTAAACCAAAAGCAAACTTTTGCCACATACAAACTTTTCAAACAAAAAAATTCACACAATGCAAAAAAATAAACCTTAGTAGATTAGGGTTACAAAACCTACAACAAACGCTTTGATTAGAGTTCACAAATTCGGACAACAAACAAATACAAAAAATTCCTAAAACTAAAACACAATGCAAGTTAAGAAACCTTACCTATCCTTCAGATTTCACGATTTGGACCAAATTTGGGGGCAATCCACACGCCTAAGGGAAGGGTTTGGGGCGTTCTTCAGCTGCTCCTGCGGATTTGGGGTTTGGGCCGCCTCCTTAGTCGATTAGGTCATCCTACTCCCCCTCTGCCGAATGGGGGGTTTTTAAAAAACAAATCCGTCGATATTTAGTCGACTAAATATCGTTACCTAGTCGACTAAATATCCCAAAAATGTAGTCGATTAAGATGATTTTTTAGTCGACTATATTTGCGGTAGTCCACTTTCTGAAGATTGACCATTTGCTCGACTAAAACAGCAAGGTAGTCGACTAAAAGGGGGCAGGTTGGTGGATAGTTCTTGATCAGGGGCAAATTGGTTATTAATTAATTAATTAGGGGCAAAAGGGTCAAAAAGCCAATATTAGTCATAGTAAAATAACATCCTCGACAATATTGCTCACTAAAAAATCCTCCATAGTTGGACTTTATGGCTACATTTTCTTCAATGATTTCATGAATAAATATGATAATTATAATAAATAAAAGATTTGAGAGTGAGAATTCTTTCCATCGAATAATATATATTTTGATTATTTCTTAATATTATTTAGAATATTTTAAATGATCTCTTGAGATTAGTTTCTGGATTTTCTTATATTTTATGATGTGTTTGCTTAAATTATAAAATCACTATTTATACTAAAAAGGATTTAATGTTGGGTCCGTTGAAAACTATATCAATATAAAGTAGTATTCAGTCTTTAACATGCCTACAATTTTATAGATTTATCAATTGTTGCAAGGCAATTTTGAAAACGCTGCTGCGGCTAATTTTATCCATCCAAACAAGGTTAGAGAACTTTTTCTGTTGTGCTTGTTAAGAAAAGTGGAAAATATTGTAAAATCCAAGCTTGATAATTCAAGTCAAGAATGAGATTTGTTTAATGGAAATATAAGAATCACGTTGTAGAAATGATACTGTTCATTCCTGCAACCATTGTTTAACTATATATTTTCGGAAGTACATAGTTAAAAAAATAATTTTAACCATTGTAGGACGCTTTCTTTTCTTTTACGTATACTTTTGTTTTGGGAAAACTTAAAAAAAAACCCTACTAGTTTCCTTAAAATCACTTAACCCCCTTCCCGAAATTTTTAATCATTTACCCCCTACTTAAAATTTCTTGGAAAAACTTCAAAAACCTCCCTGTAAGTTTCTTCAGAATCACTTACCCCTCTCTCCAAAAAATGTAGTCATTTACACCCCTTCTTAAAATTTTTTTATCACTTACCCCCTAACTTGATTTTTCATCCAAGTTAAAGTTAACGGAGTTAATTTTTAAAAATATACCAAAACTACCCTTAAAACAAAAAGAAGGAGTTAACCCTTAATACCAAAACTACTCCAAAATACTATATAGACGAATAATCCGATCACAATAATAGAAATTAGACCGACGCATTTGCAATTGCAATAACTTGAATCTATTTGAAAGGGAAAGAGGAAATTGAAGTCATAATTAATCAGAGCCAGCTCATTTGTGGCATTAAAATTAATCTCATATCTAAACAGTCTAGACTACCGTAAAAGTCTGAAGAAATATATATATATATATATATATATATATTAATATGAATTTATGGTAAATCTCAATGACCAAATAGTAAACATTGAAAGTCTGAAACTATAAGGTATGTGATACGAACATGGAGCATATGAGACCATAGGAGGAAGGCGGTGATGACAACAGAGAGGATATGAGGGAGAACGACCAAAGAGAGAAGGAGATTGAGAAGGAGACAGAGAGTCAACGTAGAGGAGCTAGAATCAGGATGAGATCAAAGTGGACTAAAGATTATCTGATGGCACTAGTGGGCCATAAAGGATGAGGCCCAATTCGTATATGAGAGGGAATATAGTAAATAAGGAGAGGAAAGTCATTACTTGTGTTTGTGGGCCAGTAGGGCAGCCCAATAGAAATATTATTGTTTCTTTTATAAAGGTTAGTAGGAGTACAGTAGAGGGGTATCTGAAAATTGTAATTGAATTCTCATCTTTTTCCCTAATTTTCTTCTGGAGTTGCCGGCAACCTCGAATTGCCGTAGGAATTCATTAATATACATATATTTTCTCCTTGATTGTGGTTGAGTGTATCAATTTGGTGCTTTCATTGAGAGGCAACTTCTGACTTTTACCATGGCAGAAGGAACTCGAAGTGCAGTAAAACAAAATGTGATGGATGAATGCTTGAACCGATTGGCAAGGCATGAAGAGCAGTTCACTTCATTCGGTCACCTGTTACAAGAAATGAACATGAAGTTAACATTGCTGGAGGCGAAATTAGATCAAGGACAGAAACAAAAGACGAAGGTGGAAGGAACGACGAACGAAGGGTTAGGAAGTTTTTTTGGAAATAATGCATTAAAGTCAGTTAAGCTTACCATTCCTCGGTTTGCTGGTGGGAACCCCGAACCTTGGATCCATAAAATCCAACAGTTCTATGGGTTTCATAATCTCACAGATCCCGAGAAATTCACTCTGACCTCCTTTCACATGGATGGCAGTGCTGAAGAGTGGTACCACTGGATGGATCGTAATGGAAGATTGAGAACATGGGATCAATTTGTAGGCGCCTTACGCGCCCGATTTGGACCTTCCAGGTATAGGGATTTACGGGGAGAACTTGGCAGATTGACACAAGTAACTACTGTAGCAGATTACCAATCTCAGTTTGAGAAGCTCGCAAATCAGGTGATGGGAATTGACGATGTGAGCCTCCAAAGTTATTTTGAATCTGGTCTGAAATCTGAGATCCGCAAGGAGGTACGCATGCACTTACCTGCCAGTTTGGAGCAAGCCATTGATTTAGCTAAAATTGTTGAAGACAAACTCAATGATAAAAGTACAGGGAGGACTTACTACAACCGTGCTTATACTGGTCCAAGTAATCCTTCCCAACCAGGGTTATTGCCCACACCTCTAGCTCCACCCAAGCTTGCCATTACAGGCTCAGGAAACAATAAAACCAATATTCCAATCAAACGGTTGACTGCAGCAGAGATGATGGAGAGAAGAGAGAAGGGCTTGTGCTACTATTGCAATGAGAAATTCAACCGAACTCACGTATGCAAGTCCAAAATGTTCATCATGCTGGTACAAGATGAGGACAATGAGGCACCTGACAAGAATGGAGGAGATGAATTAATTATGGATATGAGTACTGAGAAGATGGAAGGAGAAATTCAAAGCATGCCCGAAATTAACTTACATGCTATGGCAGGACAACATTCCACCAGTACATTGCGAATTCAAGGGAGGATTGGCAATACTCATGTGCAGATTCTGGTTGATGGCGGTTCAACCCACAATTTTATACAGGCTCGCTTGGTGAAGTTTCTGGGATTGGACAACATCCCTACACAGAAATTTCAAGTATTAGTGGGCAATGGAGAAGTCATGGACTGCTTAGGAGTATGTTCACAGGTTGAGATAGAGATACAGGGACATCACTTCCGACCAGACCTGTATGTCCTACCCCTTCAGGGTGCTGAGGTTGTTTTGGGAGTCCAGTGGCTATCAGAATGGGGTGACATTACAATAAACTACCGCGACCTGGTCATGAGATTTGAAAGGGAAGGCCAGCAGGTGGAATTACAGGGAGCCCACAACCTTACTATGGAAGCAATTCAGCTGCATCAGCTTCGCAAATTGCAATCCTCCAACTCTGTGGCTTGTTTATATCAATTACACGCCATAACCCACAGCACTGAATGCCAGTCAGCAGCAATAATCAAACATGACAGCCGTGTGCAACAGGTATTACAAGACTTTGAAGAGGTGTTTGCTAAGCCCACAACCTTGCCTCCCTTTCGTCAGGAGGACCATCAAATCCACCTGGAACCTGGAACAAAAGCAGTCAGTGTCAGACCGTATAGATACCCACATTTTCAGAAAACAGAAATAGAGAAAATGGTGAAAGAGATGTTATCCTCAGGGGTGATTCGCCCTAGCTTAAGCCCTTTTTCATCTCCGGCACTCTTGGTCAAAAAGAAAGATGGAACCTGGAGGTTTTGCGTCGACTATCGAGCCCTCAACTAGGTTACAGTCGCCCACAGTTCCCCAATTCCCACTGTTGACGAGATGTTGGATGAACTAGCAGGAGCTGCTGTCTTCTCAAAGATGGACCTCCGATCCGGTTACCACCAAATAAGAATGGCAGAACCAGATATTTACAAAACCGCTTTTCGCACCCATGAGGGCCACTACGAGTTTGTGGTCATGCCATTTGGGCTCACTAACGCCCCGGCTACGTTTCAAGGAGTCATGAACTCAATGTTGAAGGTATTTCTAAGGAAATTTGTAATCGTTTTTATTATGACATTCTAGTCTATAGCAGGAATTTGGAGGACCACTTGATTCACCTGAGGACAGTCTTAGGATGCTTGCATAATAATCAGTTTTATATGAAAATGGAGAAATGCGCATTTGCACAAACTGAAGTAGAATATCTGGGTCATGTTGTGAATGGAGCTGGAGTGCGACCAGATGAAGGTAAAATAAGAGCTATCATGGAGTGGAAAGAACCCACTACAGTCAAACAGCTGCGTGGCTTCCTTGGCCTAGCAGGATACTACCGCAAATTTGTGCGAGGATTTTCACACATCGCAGCTCCCTTGACTGCTCTCCTGCAGAAAGATGCATTTACATGGACCCCTGCTGCTGCACAAGCTATGTCCAGACTGAAGGAAATTTTGTCCAACCCACCCGTGTTGGCCTTGCCGGACTTTGATAAGCCTTTTGTGCTCACCACCGATGCTTCCGGAATAGGTATTGGAGCGGTGCTCAGTCAGGACAATAAACCAATTGCTTACTTCAGCCGTAAGCTCTCCCCTAAAATGCAACAATCTTCCACCTATGTCAGGGAACTCTTTGCCATCACGGAAGGAGTAGCCAAGTTCCGGCAATACCTGCTGGGAAGTAAATTTACGATTAGGACAGACCAGCATAGTATCAGGGAATTGATGGCTCAAGTGATACAGACACCAGAACAACAACGTTTTCTGGTTAAATTACTAGGGTATGATTATACCATTGAATATCACCCTGGTGCTATCAACAAGGTGGCTGATGCCTTGTCTCGGGTCCACGAAGGGGAGCCAAAGGATACTGTTGCAGAGTACCAACTTCTAGCCTTAACCTCTCGAATTAATCCTCTCCTGGGTTCCATCCGAAAAGAAGTCAAAGAGAAATCAGAACTGTGTAAGATTGTCCAATCAATCGAAGAAAAAAAAAGTGGGTTTGAAAATTATACCATTAAGGATGGCTTGATTTTTTTTAAAGGGCGTATTGTAGTGGCCAGTACCTCTGACATTCGCACATCCCTCTTGCATGAATTCCGTTCTACTGTAGTTGGGGGTCATGGCGGCATAAGGAAGACTTTGCATCGCATCTCCACCCGCTATTATTGGCCCAACATGAAGTTCGATGTGCAGGAGTTTGTGCGCAGCTGTCCTACCTGCCAGGTTACGAAGTATCAGCCTATGTCACCCGCAGGACTTTTACAACCGTTGACCATTCCAAAAGCAGTCTGGGAAGATCTCTCCATGGATTTCATAGTCAGACTACCACCGTCCGAAGGAAAAACGGTTATAATGGTAGTTGTGGACCGTCTTTCCAAGTACTCACATTTTTCTCCATTACCAGGCAATTTCTCAGCTACAAAGGTGGCCTCTGTTTTTGTATCCGATGTTTGTCGTCACCATGGCATCTCGCGTTCCATCGTCTCCGATAGAGATCGAGTGTTCATCAGTAAGTTCTGGCAGGAACTTTCTAGGCTAAGTGGCACACAGCTGCACTTCAGCACATCAAACCACCCTGAAAGTGACGCTCAAACAGAAGTGACAAATCGAGGATTAGAACAGTATTTGCGATGCTACACCATGGACAACCTAAAGAACTGGATTCAGTACTTACCGTGGGCGGAATTTTCTTACAATTCGTCATTTCACTCCTCCATTGGGTTCAGTCCATTCCAAGTGCTCTATGGGCGATTACCACCACCAGTACAGCCTTATGACGGAACAACTACCGCCATTGAGGCAGTGGACGCCTTGCTGACGCAAAGAGATCACATACTCCGACAACTCCGTGATAATCTGCACCGTACACGCCACCGCATGAAGACACAGGCTGATAAACACCGCCGCGATGTACAGTTTGGTGTTGGGGATGAGGTATTGGTAAAGCTCCAGCCATATCGACAGAAATCCCTTCGGAACCAAACCTTTTCCAAGCTTCGGAGAAGATACTATGGCCCTTTTCCGATTGCTGAGCGGATCGGGCCCGTGGCCTACCGTCTGACGCTACTGGAATCATCAAGGATCCACCCTGTGTTCCACGTTTCGTTGTTGACGGAGTTCCGTAAAAATCCAAACCTTCACCCCCTTTCACTTCCACCGGTGGCTTGGGACAACCATCCCGTGACTGAACCGTTAGCCATAGTCCGTTCACGGACCATACAACGGAGCAACTGCTCCGATCTGCAGGTTCTGGTCCAATGGAGTGGCCTGCCGTTGGAGGACGCCTCTTGGATGCCGATTTCTGAGTTCATGCACGCCTTCCCACAGTTCGATCTTGAGGGCAAGATCGCGTCTTTAAGAGAGGAGGGAATTGATACGAACATGGAGCATATGAGACCAGAGGAGGAAGGCGGTGATGACAACAGAGAGGAGATGAGGGAGAACGACCAAAGAGAGAAGGAGATTGAGAAGGAGACAGAGAGTCAACGCAGAGGAGCTAGAATCAGGATGAGATCAAAGTTGACTAAAGATTATCTGATGGCACTAGTGGGCCATAAAGGATGAGGCCCAATTCGTATATGAGAGGGAATATAGTAAATAAGGAGAGGAAAGTCATTACTTGTGTTTGTGGGCCAGTAGGGCAGCCCAATAGAAATATTATTGTTTCTTTTATAAAGGTTAGTAGGAGTACAGTAGAGGGGTATCTGAAAATTGTAATTGAATTCTCATCTTTTTCCCTAATTTTCTTCTGGAGTTGCCGGCAACCTCGAATTACTGTAGGAATTCATTAATATACAGATATTTTCTCCTTGATTGTGGTTGAGTGTATCAGTATGTATCTCATATATATAAGAAGTATGTCACAATTTTCAAATCAAATACACAAATTTTTTTAAAAAAAAAAAAACTCCACAGCATACAAGGGACATCATACAATTATCGTAATATTTCCTCAAACTAATGCAGCAGTTAAACGTAGAAACTTCACAACAAAAACACAACAATGGCTTTTATTTTCCTAGACATAATGCATGATTTCAATATTTGGAATAGCCATTTTAACTCAATTCACTCTGCTGCATATTTTTGTGATCTGACCCTGTGTGCCAGTTAGTGGGCTAAGGTTGCCCATCTTGATCATCGCATTACCAAAATCTAGTCTGAAGAGTAATGGGTTTGTGGCATACTCCAAAACTTTTTGATTCGTCATTGAAGAGTTGTTGGTCAGAGTGAAAAAGACCCTTTTTGTTAACCAAATTCTTGTAGTAAGCACTGTCAAAAAAATTCCTTGTTGCAGTGTGTTATCTCTTGCTAGCAATAAAGTGTTTAGTTAGTATTAAGGGTTAATTTTTTACTTTTTTTTTTAAGGATAGTTTTGGTATTTTTTTTAGAAATTAATTCTGTTAACTTTAACTTGGATGGAAAATCAAGTTAGGGAGTTAAGTGATAAAAAAAATTTAAGTAAGGATGTAAATGATTAAAATTTTTGGGGAGGGGGTAAGTGATTCTGAAGAAACTTATAGGGGATTTTTTGAAGTTTTTCCAAATTTCTTTATCATTTACCCTCCTAATTTGATTTTCCATCCAAAATTTTATTAACAGAGTTAAATTTTTTTAAGTAACCAAAATTACCCTTAATAGAAAAAAGAAAAAACATAATTTCCTCACAAATGCAATTTTAAAAGAACTCACGTAAGCAAGGCATGAATGTAAATCAACAATTGAATCCTCCCTCTACTCTCAACAACACAGAAAACAACGAAATAACACCTTCTGCATGTTTTCCTGGTAATATCTTATGATCAAGGGAAAAGCAAGGCATATATGAAGCCTAGAACGTAAAGCTTTTCAGTTGCTATGCAAGCAAAATAAAGTGTAGCTCTGAATAAATTTATAAAGTCAGATTTGTTGGTCATATAATAGCATAAAAGCTTATAACAGAAAAGGGAAGATCTAAACCTGCTGGGATGATGCCTCTTTAATTATTTTATTTGAACAACGACACCAAAAATTGTGAGTGCGATGTTTAATAGCAATGAGATTTGCAGGAAATAATTTTAATAATTACTAATTCTATCAAGGTTACCTTAAAGAAAACATTCTGTGAGTTCGTCTAAAATTGCGTTTGTGAAAATTATGTTTTTCTTTTTCTATTAAGGTTAATTTTGAAATTTTTTTAAAAATTTAACTCTGTTAACAAAATTTTGGATGGAAAATCAAATTAGGGGGTAAATGATAAAGAAATTTTAAGTAGGGGGTAAATGGTTAAAAATTTCAGGGAGGGGGGAAAGTGATTTTGAGAAAACTTGTAGGGGATTTTTTGAAATTTCCCCTTTTTTTTCCTTTATATCTTTAATCACGGTTTTGCAGGTCAAGGCCTAGTGGCAGAAATTGATTACCACTCGAGTGGAGTTAAAGTTATAGAACAAGATTATATTACTTAAATTTAAGGATATTATGTCTTGTTGTCCATTTTTCGTATCCTATATGACAGATTTGGACCCTTGTGTCTTAATGGAAGTTATAGAACTTTTCTTATCTTTCCAACGAGACTAAAAATGCATCAATCGGATAAGTATAACTTAAGTTATGGATAAAATACTAAAGTATAGTGAAATCTCCATAACCGTGGCGCTTTTGGCGCCATGATAACGCTATTGGCGCCACCAAACAGTGGGTTGGCGCTAACGGCGCCGCAAGACATGAAAATTCAGTGTTCTGGCGCTATCAGTGCGGGTTTGGCGCTATCAGCGCCGGACCCTGCGAAATTCAATACCATTTTGTTTTTTAAAAATTCAT